GAAGCTACAGGTGTGGTAGAGAAGCAAGAAGTTTGGAAAGCCAGCAACATGAATTACCTAAAGAAAACAGGATTGAACAGAGTGTGCCTAAGAGAGAAGCCTACTACTACCAGAAGTGTCATAAGGACAGAACCAGTCAAGCCCCATGGAACTCACAATTTGCCACAGATTGCCTTGGAGGTTGAACATGGAATTACAAAAGTTAGTGTTTGCATTGTTGGATTTTGAACTTGTTCTTTTGTATCCTTTTCCTTTGTATCCCCTTGTTTATAACTTTTAGAATGGAGATGTCTATTTTGTGCCATTGAAAGTTGAGTGTTTAACTTTCTTTTCATTCATATAGCATTTCTTGCAGCTAAGAGTTTGTCTGACATCTTAGTGGAGATTTGGGACACGGACTTTTCAGCAATGCTGAAACTGTTAGGATTTTGACAACTCTTGGAGTAAAATTTTTTTCATAAAGGATGTGTATGAGTGTTTGGTAGGGCTGGGCAAATAATGTTATGGTTTGTGGCTGGCTTTCACCTCAAAGCTTCATGCGGTCTTAGGGGCAGGCTTTTAGAGTTTGTGATTGATTTATGGCCCAATACTGGGATTATGGGTGTCAGTGCCCCCCTACTTTAAGGTGGGTAACCTACATACAATATAAGGGACATATAGACTCTTCTCTTGCACTCTTCTCTTTTTGTTCTTGTTGCTTTTGCTGTCTTCCACCCACATGAACTGTTGCTTCTCTACCTTGCCACCATGCCTTGGAGTTAACTGATTATGAATTGAAGCTCCACAAACTGTGAGCTAAATAAAGCTTTCCTTATTTAATTTTAGGCAGTGTGTATTTTGTCTTAGCAACTAGAGAAAAGTAACTAAGATAGTCATCCACCATTGTAAGTATTTATAAAAAACATTATTTATACAGCATTACAACTATATAAAGTTATAATATAATTGCATTTTTCAGACAAGAAAAACTGAGGCATTATAAGTTAAATAATTTGCTTCATTTTACATAATTTGTAAATAATGGAACTAAAATTTAGACCAAAGTAGTGTAACTGCACATTCTGTGTTCTTACTAGAAGATATTGTAGATATTAGATTATTAACTTTTTAGTTAGAGTCAGTGACCATTAAGAATCTGAAAATCATTTACTGTCTCTCCAAAAATGTACACATTTACACATATAATTTTGTAAGTGATATCTAGAGAAATTATATATGCACATATTTATGAAGTCTTTTAAAATCATTTGGATTTTTTGTTGTTGATAATTATAGTTGAAGATGATAAAGTAGTCTAGGAAGAGCTGATATTTCTATCATTTTTGCTAGGGACGAATCAAATCTTCTTTTCACCACTATCCAAAGTCTAAATGGAAGAATAGTAGGGCAGTGAAAGTTTAGGCCAAGGAACTAACTAATTAAGCACCTGAAGTTTATTCATATTTCAGATGTCAGAAATTGGTACTATAACATTTAATTCATTTATAACCAATGCATTCTTTTTTTAGTATTATAGATGTTCAGTCACAATTTTTTGGTTTAGAATAGAGCATACATATATAAAGTTTATTTTAGGTTTTAATGTAGTCCTTAATTCAATTTGAGAATTGCTTATAAGTATGTTGTACTTTACAAAAGCAAGCAAAAGATTAATCTACAATCTGTATAACTGTCTTAAGGTCTTTAGCCTCATCTATTATGCCAGTTTCTCAACCACTTTTATAATCCTTTGACTGTATTTTATTGCTGGTCTCCTCCAAACCAATTACTACTTATTACAGACACAGGGATATCATTCTGAAAGTCTTATGAACTATGGTACTTGCATAATGATGTGATGTGGGAGTCATGGAAATCATATTTTTTTAAATATTATGGCCAAGAAGATTACTCTAGTAGGGCGATAGAGTGTATATTAGAGTTGAAAAAAAAGCAAGGAGGTAGAAAAGAGTACAACAATTAACCATGATAGGTACACGTAAAATAAGCCCTGTTCAGGATTATTTTAGAAAAGTCAGTAACATATGATATTTGGGCAAGGCATCCAAAAGTGCTCATGTCTGTTGATTGCATTATCCCACGTGGATGCAGAAGAGCTGTCTTCCTTCCATCCTTTCAGAGCCTGTTCCATTGATCTCTAGGTTCTTAGGCTTTCCCTTTCCATGAGGATTTTTTTATTGTTTTAACTGATACACAGAACCATGAGTTGTGCATATTAATGTACAAAGAAATTTTCAATATGTGTGCATATTACATAATGTCTAAGTAAGCTTTGCCTTTATCTCCTCAAGTATTTATAATTTCTTTTTGTTAAAAAGTTTCAAAATATTTTCTTCTAGCTTTTGAAACGTGCAATACTTAATGGTTATCTACAGCCACATCGCTGTGCAATAAATAGTACCTTGGATTTTCTGGGTACTCATTGATGAACTTTTCTTTATGTCTTTCTTCACCATTGTCAGTGGATCCCATGAGGATTAAATTTTCCCTTAGTTTATTGAAAACCTTATGCATTAATATCAATTTCAGAGTAATTGCTAAATCTACTTTGCTGTAGTTGCATAGAGAAAGTGCTAGTATAAATATTAGGAATGTCAGTTAGGTAATGAATGAATCCACTCATGATCATTTAAGTGACATAAATAAAGGAAATTTACATATAACATCCATGCAAAACTACATTAAAAAATCTGCCCCCCCACAACATTACCGAGTTATGAAATGAGTTCTTGGCTCATATTTAACTATGACATTGTTTTATTTAGGCTGCACAATTTTTAAAACCTTTGTTTAGTGAATGTTCTAAACTTTGAAATTATAAAATAAAAATTTATATTTTCTTTAGTAGAAATTGCAATGCTGGAAACTAGTGACATCAGAGAATCCTTCCCCAAAACAGTGATCAGGTGGAACTGTGCACTCTTTGCAGATGTTACCTCCAGTTTCCCACAGTCTCCTCTTCAGTCTTCTTCAGGAATTGGCATTCTTTGCATCACCTTAATGGTCCTTGCAACCTCTGCTCTAGAACTCCACCATAGTCAGTAGAGCAAAAAAAGAAAACTTTATTGTACCTTTTGAGGTAGTATTGGTTTACAAGAACAGAAACAAACTAAAACACTGAAGTTGAACCACTGTACCATCCCCTGTGTACAAGTGGTGGAGAAAAAATGTCAAAAAACATAATTCTTTAGGCATAGCTAACTTAATTATTCATAGATAAGTTGCTTTTTATTTTATAAAAGGAAGCCTGAGAAACTTTTATGATTCTAAGATATTAACTTGTGTCCTGGTTATACTTTACCATATCAGAAGATATCTCTCACTTTACTCACATAATTTATGAGAGGCTATACAATTGGGTTTTTGTAGAATCAAATGAAGACTAAGATTCGGGGCAGTAAGTGACTAGCCCTTCTTTATTTAATATATTATCAACAAGGGTTTTGCTTGAGGTTATCTATCACCAGTCTTACCAAGGGGCAAAGATTTGTCATCTGAAAGTGTTTTGATTCTGAAAATAATAGCATTTACTTATCTAATTTTGAGATTACATAGTTAGCTAATATAGTAGATTTTGTCAATAGAGTAAGCATGATAGCCTTGGGATATTAACTGAACACATTTCTCATTGTGAGCATTTTGACATTTCTCAAATTATACAGATATTCAGTAAGGTATTTTGGATGTCTATAGTGAGTGCAGTTTCCTCTGTGAGTGATATTAGGGGTGCAATAATGTTAATATACAATACTATGCTCCATGGTATATTATTAGAGAGTGGAACCACACTGCCAACCCATTTTAGTCTATCCTTCTGGACTCATTTCCTTCTGTCTCTCTCTTTTTCTTATTATAATGGAAAGCCAAAATGCTAGAAGCAAAGATGTGAAATACTTCTAGGGTTCAATAATTTGGATAGATAAACTTATTTTATTAATACCTTAGTATTGTAGATATGGACCAGTTATTTACTGGGGTCTGATTCTGAATACATTTCTCATCAGACAAGAAGGAGTGTGGAACAGAGGAGGTGGAATTCTCCTGTCACATGCCCATGCACAACTTCACTTGTGCCAGATTCTGCCCTCAGCAATGTGAGCACACTTCAAACAGAAATGTGCATGAATAGTTAAAGGAAATGCTGCATCCCACCTGTTGCCTCTTCTGTGAAGTAATAGGTCTATAATATTTATAAATTTTAATAATCCAGACAAAGTTTTACCTTCCAGTATTCATTTTATGTTACCCTAAAGTTTGACTGTGTGTGTGTGTGTGTGTGTGTGTGTGTGTGTGTGTGTGTTCTTTAGGATCTTAGAGAATTTGTCTGTCTACTAATATATGTCCATTTAAAAAGGAATTATAAAATTCTATTATCAACCAGACATCAGCACATTTCTGGAGTTGTACTGAAATCTTTATTTTCCGTGTGATGTTTTCTTCATCTGACTGAAGGTGTCATGATCCTTACTGAAGGCTGGAAGCATATCAACATTATATTTGTTGATTCTGTCAAAGTGAATTGCATTTGTGTTTACCTTTTGTTCCCCAAGATGATAATTGAAATTTTTTTCAAAGTGTTTCCTTTTGATGGTTTAAGATGCCTTAAGATGCCTTGCTGCTGAAAGGCTAATGAACCAAATAATTAGCTTGAAAGTAGGTATATGAGTATAAGCCCAATCTTTGCCTCACCTATAAACTTATACTGTCTCTTAGGAACAATGATTATATTTCAATGCACACACAATCAGAGGGGAAAAAAAATTAACATGGAAAATGCTATTCTTACTCACTGGACTTGAGTTGGTGACAAAAGGCCAGAGATAGCATGTTTTAAGTGACATTTTCTGAAACTCATTTTCCAGTGGTCCTCTGATTTTAAAGTAGGTTTTGGTAGATTTTTTTGTTGTTGTTAAGGAAAAAAGAAATAAAAAAGAAGCAGTTTCTGTTTGGTGCCAGAGTTATTTATCCTAAATAACATACTTTTACTCCTTCAATTTCAGTTTACAAGCATTGAGAAAGGAGAAGTCTCGAGACGCTGCTCGTTCCCGCCGGGGAAAAGAAAATTTTGAGTTCTATGAATTGGCCAAGTTGTTGCCTCTCCCTGCAGCCATCACCAGCCAGCTGGACAAGGCATCCATCATTCGACTTACAATTAGCTATCTGAAAATGCGGGACTTTGCTAATCAGGGAGACCCTCCGTGGAACTTGCGAATGGAAGGCCCTCCACCCAACACATCAGTAAAAGGTAAGTTTTAGACCACTGTTTAGTCTGGAATGTGATGGTCTGTAGATGTAAGATGTAAGATGAAATGTTTACCATCATCCTTTCTTCTTTTCCTGCATATCAAATCCTTTAAAGGGATACAAATGTGGAAATCTGAACTCTGCATGAGAAAGACACCATGTGAAGGTGAAATAAACCTCTTCTATTTCTATTTTATTTTCAAAAAGTCTGTCCACCACACGTTCTGTTACTTTGTAGAGGATTTCACAGAAATGAGAAAGAAGTGATTTATGCATTAAATTGGGGGAGGGTTAATTTATGCCAAAGGAATATGTGTAAATTTTCCTTGATGGGCAGGGTATGGAATGTTTGCTAATCTGTGGAGCTAATGAGTTCTGCCTTATGTAAGCAAGAAGAGTAAGAGAGCAGAGTCCAACTTGAGCGGGCCTTTTTGAGTTACTGATTTTATTGACCTCAAAAATCAATCCATGAATTAATGTTTCATGTTTCTCTATAGACGTATTGCCGTACAGTTATAAATATAAACATGTATTTGTTCTTCAAACTTTTGATGTAGTTACTCATAAAGTTAGTAGTTTCCAAAAGTTAAGTCTTTTTACTGTGATATTTAGGGCAGGTGTTTTCTAGTGTGTTCCTGAAACTCCTAACAACTTACAGCATTTTAAGAATTTGAATATGCATGCATATATTTGTTGATGTGTATATGGTGTTGGCCATTGATTTCCTATGTTTAAGGCTGTGTTATTCAAACAGTATGACCTAAAGGATCTTTTAGATTTTTTATGGCCCATCCTTGTATTTAGGTCCTTGATGAGAACAGAATAAAAGTGGGCATTGTAAGAAACTGTGGAGACTGCCTGTGACTTCCTCTGAGGTGAATGAGATACTTTAGCTATGTGATGACACCGTGCCAACCACCTTTAGAAAAGTCTTGGTAGTCTTGGCTGTTATAGAAAAGTGAATCTTTTATGGAATTTTGATAGAACTGAAGGATCAAAGTGATGATTATTTACAGTTCCATGCTAGGGGCTATGATCATACATGTGTACCTGCATGTGTAAACCCCTTACAGATTGAGCATCCCTAAAATAAAAATCCTATATTGATATGCTCCATATTTTTTAAGCACAGATTTGATGTCACAACTGGGAAATTCCACATCATGACTCTGTTTTATGCAAAAAATTATTAAAAATATTACATAGACTTACCTGTAAGCTATGTGTAAAAGTGTATGAAAGATAAATTTTTGGTTTAGACTTGGGCCCCATCCTCAAGACAACTCAGTATTTGTATATAAATATGCCAGAATCTGAAATCTGTAACATTTCTGGTGCTGAGGATTTCAGATAAAGGAGATTTAATCTGTGTTTCCTTAAAGATGGTATAATACTTATGAGATGAGGAAAATTAGAATTTAAATTATGACAGGTTATTTTCATGTAGAGCAGTAGTTGACAAACATTTTCTGTAAAGGGCTATGCAACTATTAATCCTGATGTGTCAACTTCCCTCTATTAAGAAATGTGTAGCAGACTTAGTAAGGCCCACATGTTCCCTAGCTTACTCCTCTCTGGTACTGTTTCCTTGCTTTGCTTCTTGGCCACTGTGAAGTATGCAGCTTTACCCTGCTGCCCCTTCTCCCCATGGGGTTTTTGCTTTGGAGCCAGCTGGCCATGTACAGAGTCTCCTGAAAATGTGACCTGAAGCAAACCTTCTTTATTAAATTGTGACTGCCAGGTGTTGTAGATCAGTGATGGGAAAGCTAATACTTGCCACATAGTAAATATTGTAGACTTAGGAACCTGTGAGCATTAAAGTTAGACATAGACAATATGTAAATGAAAGAATATGGTTTTGTTTCCAAAAAAATTGCATTTATGAGACAGGTATCAGCCTCTACCTGTCTCATAAATACATAGGCCATATTGGCAGATCATTGCTCTAGAATATATGACATGGAACGGTTAAGGAGTACACATGGCAGAGGTACCTCTCGGGATATAAATATATGGTAATCCACAACAAATAATGAATACCCATTCTTACAGTCCTTTTATAGCCCTTTTCATGGGCTATAAAATGTGGATATTAATTTGGTAAAAACTAGTGGATATTCTGGTTATTAAAGTAGGGGTGAATTTTCCCAGAATAAAATATGAATGTAATTCTAATAAAAATACATTAGATTTATTTTTCACTGCAAGCCATAGACTATGTAACTGTTTATTCTGAATCATGCAACTTGAAAGAGAAAGTTCAATAGATTAGAAACATGTCAGTGTAAAAATATTACTCATTTTGAAATAAATTGACGTACTAGAGTTGTATTAATTTGTTGTACATAATTATCCTTTAGATCCATTTGGAAAGGAATTTACAGTGAGTAGGCTTTCCTGGTAATGATGAAATCTAGAGTAGAAACACATGATGGCTCCATTGTGTCTGTATTATTCTTTGATATGATATTCCAGTTGATATTTAGAATCACAGACTTTTACAGATACAAAATTTTTCATCATGTATGATTTTCCCTATTTTACAGATAAATACTTTAAGTATTAACTGATCCAAGATAAGCCTTCTTTCCTTTCTATCTGGTATTCTGTTGTGTCAGTCACATCATGTCATTTTTAAAAGTAGTATTTGTTTTATATCACCATCATCAAATGTCTAGGTAAAATTTTTCTAAGCTTTAGACTTTGAATAATAATTCATTTTTACTGTGAGATCTTTTATCAACTCATTACTTATTAAGAATAAGCTGAATAAGAAGAAAAAACAGGACTACAGCCCCCAGATGTGTTGCTGTTTATGAAAGGTCATGGGGGTATTGACAAAAGGAAGAAATTTGTCATGAGTGTTTAGGGGCCTGGAAAGTGATTGTAGATTTCGTTATTTATAAAATTCCAACCAGATGATGGCAGAGCACCTATATTGTTACATGGACAGTGTCAGTATTACTAAGCTGCCAGGAGATTAGAACAGAAGATGTGAGTATAGTAACTACACATCACCTTATCTTGACTTTCAAATGCTGCTGCAAATGCAGTAGGTACTTTTATAAGCTGCTTCTGCTGTACGATATATGTACAATTTATTACTCCCGTTCTTTAATGCAAACTGCTTCTCATTCTGATCAAACATTCATGAAATAACATCAAAAGAAATTCGTTTTAATTTATTAAGATTTTCTATGTTGTGCCCTTGAAGAAGTTCATATGGATAAACAAGCTTATATAAATAACCTGCAGCATCATGCGAAATGCAGTTCATAATCCAACAATAAAAACAGTAGACATTATACGTTGTGCTTCTTCAAGCAGTCTCTTCAATAAATCTAAAGGCATTTGGAAATTTATATGAAAAGTACTCACACTAGGTAGGCAACTTTTTATGTACTGAGATGATCATGTTAATAATTAAACTTCAAAGCTTAAATTTAAATTTGTTTCACACAACTATATAGAAGTTTAATCATTTTAATTAGCTCCTTCAGAAAGATTTTCTACTCTGTCCAGTATTCACTACATTTTTTTCTTAACAGTCTATAAAGGTTGATGAGTTTGTTTTGTAGTACCCATTGTATACAGATTATTACAAGATATGCTTGCAGAAAAAACATTCAGGTGCCAGTGTGTGATAAGTCCCGAGTCAATTACTTCATGGAAATGATATGTTAAGCAATTGGAAGGTAACGGATAGTTTTTCCTATTATTTTAGGAATATCTGTATTGTTATAATACAGATCAACTCTGCAATGAACATTATGCATTATTCAAGAAATGACCAGGCATTCTCAGCAGTGTTTCAGCTAAATAACTGATGATTGTAACCTTTAAAGAAATCTCATTGTGGTGACTGTTGGTAAATCACTTCTCCATTCATAGTAATCTCTATTTAGAGGCTATCTAGAAACCATTATATCTTTTATTAATCTTAAAAGCAATAGCTGCTGATTTGACATTTGCTAAACCTAGATAAATTTTCTGTCTTTCTAATATCACAGACTTCCGTCAATTTCTGGAGTCTATGTGCTGCAACTCTATTAATACCAGAATGTGTAACATTATAAGAATAAGTTTTCTTTCAATTTAAACATTGCAGTTTTTGAACAATAATTTGTTTATGTGTGTGACAGTAAAAATGCTAAAATAAATAAAATCTAAAATATTCTCTGCTCTTGGAAAAGAAGAGTTGAAAGTTATTCAGGATATCTGGAATTAAAACTGACTGACTCATTGGGAGAGTTACCCTACATGAGTATTTTAAATGAATTCATTAAGCTGTTTAATGAATTCATTTAAAATACTCATGTAGTGTAACTGACTATAGGTTATCCTATAGTGACACTGAGTCACTATTATAATGAGTGTCCTCAAAATGTAGATAGCAGTTTATAAAATGGAGTCTGTTTCAATACACAGGTTGAGATTCCAGGACTGCCATAGTGATAGGTCTTTTTGGTTTAAGCAGCTTGATGGTCTTCCACTTAATGTTCTGGCACTTTACTGTATGCTGATTCACATTTACTTACAAGTGCCAAATGACCTTCATGCTTGAAAATGTCATATTTCTTCTTACCAAAAACTTTGTGAAAGGAAAGTTTTTAGATTTAACACATGGCCATGTGTACTAACTCTGTGGCATTCCTTTATTAAAAACATAATAAAAGGATAGGCTGTACCCTGAGATTCTGAGAAAAAGCTTCCTGTAGTTCTGGGAGAGGGAGATAATAGATGGAAAATTGGTTCTTGCTTGTTTACTTCTTTAGTCAGCTTTCCTATTGTTGAAACAAAATGCCTAACACATACAACTCAAGGAAGGAAATGATTTATTTGGTTTACGGTTTCAGAGGTTCCAGTCCATGATCAGCTGTTTCCCAAGTAGAGTATCATGGTACAGGGCGTGATGATGCAAAGCTTCTCTCATGATGGCAGCTAAGAAGCAGAGCACTGGGCAAGAGGGTCACAGAATATGCACCCTCCAAAACTGCTTTCCCAGTGACCACTTCCTCTATCTGGGACTCACTTGCTAACAGCACCTTTAGTGCCCCCATGATCTAATCACTTCTCCCAGAATTGCTAATCCAGTCACACTGACAATTAAGATTAACCATCACATTTTACCCCTTGTCAGCTTGACACTCAAATGCATCTTAAACC